GTGGCCCAACCAAGGCCATAACGTGGTCCTTCCAGGGAAGGACACGCCTGTGCTTGTTCATTTGACTTCCTGTCCCCTCAAGACAAGTCACTTATGTCATTGAGATGGAGGAGGAGGCAGACAGGCAGGACATTGCTCTCGAGCATCCACCTCTGACTTCAGTGTCCCAGGCACACTCAGATTGCACTGTGTTCTACATTACTTCTTATGGAAGGCAGGGTGATGATGATGGATTATGACAGTTCAGGAAGCGTATTCTGTAAGAAGAATCTCAGAATCAGTCCCAACACTCCACAGATACACTTGTTAGCTCTCCCAGAAAAGTATCAGTGGAGTATACAAGTCATTTGTTACCTTTGAGAGATTCTCAAATAACATTTGTTCATGGAACATAAAGGGTGCTTCCTGGAAGGATGGGAAGTCATCCTTTCTCTGAACATTTTTGCCTTTATTCTGCTCCCCAATTCTAGTCTTCTTGGACCTTCCCTGGTGGCTCAGAAGGTAAAGCGTCTGTCTACAACGCGGGAGACCCGGGTTCAATCCCTGGGTCGGGAAGATCTCCTGGAGAAGGAAATGCAACCCACTCCAGTACTCTTGCCTGGAAAATCCCATGGACGGAAAAGCCTGGTAGGCTACAGTCCACGGGGTCGCAAAGAGTCGGACACGAATGAGCGACTTCACTTTCACCTTCTTTCCAATTCTAGTCTAGTTTTGATTCCTTTGGAATAATGTGATGTACTTTTCATACTGTTCATGGGGTTCTCAAGGCAAGAATACTGCCATTCCCTTCTCTGGTGGGCCACATTTTGTCAGAACTTTCCACCATGATCCGTCTGTCTTGGGTGGCCCTACACGGCATGGCTCATAGTTTCATTTAGTTAGACAAGGCTGTGATCCATGTGATCAGGTTGATTAGTTTTCTGTGATTGTGGTTTTCAGTCTGTCTTCCCTCTGATGGAGAAAGATAAGAGGCTTATGGAAGCTTCCTGATAGGAGAGACTGACTGAGGGGGAATTTAGAAAAGGCAGAGGAACCAGAGATCAAATTACCAACATCCACTGGATCTTTGAAAAAGCAAGAGAGTTCCAGAGAAACATCTACTTCTGCTTTATTGACTCTATCAATGCCTTAGACTGTGTGAATCACAAAAAACTGTTGAGAATTCTTAAAGAGATGGGAATACCAGACCACCTGACCTGCCTTTTGAGAAATCTGTATGCATATTAGGAAGCAATGGTTAGAACTGGACATGTAACAACACGCTGGTTCCAAATAAGGAAAGGAGTACATCAAGGCTGTATATTGTTACCCTGCTTATTTAACTTATATGCAGAGTACATCATGAGAAACGCTGGGCTGGAAGAAGCACAAGCTGGGATCAAGATTTCCGGGAGAAATATCAATAACATCAGATATGCAGATGACACCACTCTTATGGCCGAAAGCGAGGAAGAACTAAAGAGCCTCTTGATGAAAGTGAAAGAGGAGAGTGAAAAAGTTGGATTAAAACTCAACATTCAGAAAACTAAGATCATGGCATCTGGTCCCATCACCTCATGGGAAATAGATGGGGAAACAGTGAAAACAGTGACAGACTTTATTTTGGGGGGCTTCCAAATCACTGCAGATAGTGATTGCAGCCATGAAATTAAAAGACACTTACTCCTTGGAAGGAAAGTTATGACCAACCTAGACAGCATATTAAAAAGCAGAGACATTACTTTACCAACAAAGGCCCATCTAGTCAAAGCTATGGTTTTTCTAGTAGTCATGTATGGATGTGAGAGTTGGACTATAAAGAAAGCTGAGCACCAAAGAATTGATGCTTTTGAACTGTGTTGTTGGAGAAGACTCTTGAGAGTCCCTTGGACTGCAAGGAGATCCAACCAGTCCATCCTAAAGGAGATCAGTCCTGGTTGTTCATTGGAAGGAATGTTGCTGAAGCTGAAACTCCAATACTTTGGCCACCTGATGTGAAGAACTGACTCATTTGGAAAAGACTCTGATGCTGAGCAAGATTGAAGGTGGGAGGAGAAAGGGACAACAGAAGATGAGATGGTTGGATGGCATCATGGACTCATTGGACATGAGTCTGAGTAAACTCCAGGAGTTGGTGATGGACAGGGAGGCCTGGCATGCTGCAGTCCATGGGGTCACAAAGAGTCAGACAGGACTGAGCACATAGATGTCCAAGAAAACTTGAGGATGAAACCTGCCACTGGCTTAGTACACTCACAACAGGCCTTGATGCTACGAGTCTCTGGGTGAACATGGGAGGGTGGGGTGGGGCCCGGGAGAGGGGGTGAGGGGTGAGGTATGACTGAGGTGCTGGGCAGGACACTCCCCTCAGTGCTGTCGTCAGCGAGGACACAGCTCGTGGGGTGGAGCAATTCAGCAGCTTGCAGTTCCCCTCCCATCTGTCTTCTCTCTGCTGATGTTAGTGGCAGGGCCCACCCTGCCCCGCGGGCGTGCCTGAGAGCCTGCTGGGCCCTCCCGGGTGCGTTCTCACCAGGATAAAGGGAGGCAGTGCTGGGGCTGACCCTCCACTGTCTCAGCCTGGAAATCACCTGTGTTTCAGCTTGATTTGTTTCTTCTTTATGTTCTAATGCACTTCACTGCATTCTCTTTTTATCTATTACCTGCACGGCAATTTTTATTCCCTTTTCCTCATATTACTTTCACATTATTAATTTCTTTTTCTTTGAACTCCCACCCCACTCACAGCCCTCACCACTCAGAGAATCACTGAAGAGAAAGGAAAATATAATCCAAACCCTTCATATTACAAGGGGCGTGGTGGTTCAGAGTAGACTGGTTCTGTTATCTGTTAAGATCACAGAGCTGGTCTACAGTCATCTGAGCCCCTGACAGCTCAGTTCATCATTGCTTCCAGAATGTGCAGATTTCACATTGGTGCTTAATCCTGTTGATGTGGATTGCTACATACCATCCAAGAATGATATTGATATTAATTAATGTGATATTAATATCCACACAAATGTGCAATTTTGCATCTTAAAAGTAATATATGCTGATATATGTGGATGCAGACATGTATAGCTCAAAGGTAAAGTGTGCAGTTCTGTGACTTAAGCAGGCAGGTATTTTAAAGACGAGGAAAAAGCCTCTAAGGGGCTAACTCGCCCAGGGCCAAACAACCCAAGTGCAGAAGATGCCCTCACACCCACCTCTCTCGCCTCCAGCCTTCTTCTCCAAGTCTGGTCACAGCGAGAGGCAGTTCTGGAACCCGTGTCTGTCCAGCCTGCTTCTTGCCATCACTCAAGGGCAGTGCACATACAGAACAATTAAAAACATAAACAAGCAGCCCGGAGTCTTAGACCCACAGCCTAGGGCTTTTTTCCAGTTTTACTTACCTGGCTGCGTTGGGTCTTAGTTGTATCATGTGAGATCTTTCATTCCTCTTCAGGGACTCTGTAGCTGTGGTGTGCTGGCTTGATAGTTGAGGCACGAGGGCTTAGTTGCTCCACAGCCTGTGGGATCCTAGTTCTCCAACCAGGCATCAAACCTGTGTCCCCTCCACTGCAAGACGGATTCTTAACCTTTGACCACCAGGGAAGTTCCCCTATTGCTTTCTTAAGGGAATTTGAAATCTTTACTTTTCCACATCCTGTTCTCCATCTTTGTGACTTAAATTCTGTCATTTGAAATACTCTAACATGCAGTGTCCAAACCCCTTTTCGACAATTGCCAGTGTTACTGTGAGAACAGGGAGGCATCAGAAGGTGATGACCAGGAAGCACACATCTTGTTAGCTCTCTCACGTGTCAGGCACTCACCCCCGGGGAGGTGTCCTCCGTGGGAGGACAGCAGGAGGGAGACAGCCGGGTCAGAGGGGTGCCGGCTCAGGGAGGACGGCAGGGCAGTGACGCTTCAGAACCACGGTGCTCTCCTCCAGCCAGCAGTGAGGGTGACGTGGAGGAGAGACGCGTCTAATGCAGACGATTAAACAATCAATGTGGTAAAACATAGTTTTCTGTTTTCTTGGGACTTTTCAATATCTTTGGGCAAATACTATTTCAACAAGCTTTCTCCATGCAGGTAACTCTGTAGGATCTTGAAATGTCTTGCACGTAGGTGAAATTACACAACTGAGCATGAATTTAAAAGCCATGATTCAGTTCAATGACCCAAAATCCGTGTTTCTTATTACTCCTTGTATGTTTTTCTTCCCTTAACTGGTCAAACACACTCCAATGCACCTTGTGTGATGTTGGTTTGGGTATTGGCATTGTGATTTTGAGATCGACACATAACTCAATGAAATAGAGAGCAAGGAAACAGACCCACACAAATACGTCCAATTAATCATTGACAAATATGAAAAAGCAGTTTGATGGAAGGATAGACTTTCTAACAAATAGCACTGGAACAACTAAACATTCAGAGCCAAAATAAATAAATAAACTTCAACCCAAACCTCACACTTTCTACAAAAATTAACTCAAAATGGATCATGAGACTCAAATGTAAACCCATAAACTTTAGGAAAAATAGATCAAAGGCAATCTTTAAAATCTAGAACTGAGCAAAAATCTCATAGACTTGCTACCAAAAGCATGACTCACAAAAGGAAAATTTGATAAATTGTAGTTTTCAAAATTCTTTAAAACTTTTGTCTCTGAATGATCTTATTAAAAGCAGGAAAATGCAAGCTACACACTGCAATAAAATGCAAACCACATAGCTGTTCACGGACTAGTATTCAGAATATATAAAGAACTCTCAAACTCTACACAAAAATAAGCCAACTAGAAAAGGGAAAAATTATGGGCAGACATTTTACTATAGAAGATACTCAGATGGCAAATAAGCCCATGAAAATATTTCCAATCTCTTTATCCATCAGGGAAACGAAAAATTAAATCACAGTAAAGTACAGTGACATACACATCAAAATGATCAAAAAAGTCAGGACAACACCAAACGCTGATGAAAATCAGAGAAACTGGAGTCCTTGTAGGCCCTGGTGGGAACGGGAAATGGTTCGGCTGCTCTGGAAAAGCACTTGGCAGTTTTTTACAAAGCTAAACGTGAAACTGTCACATGGCACAGTGATTGCACTTGTGGGCACTTATCCCAGAGGTATACAAGGTTATTCTCATGCAAAATCTGCACACGCTTGTTTCTAGAAATAAGACAGCCAAAAACTGGAATCAGCCCAGATGTATTTCAGCAGGTGAACGGATAAACTGTGAGATCTCATGGAACACTATTCAGGAATGGAAAGGAAGGAACTGTTGACACACGCGACAACTTAAAGAGATACTCAGGGTATCACACACTGAAAGAAAAACAAATGCTCAAAATAGTAGGTAGTGGGACTTCCCTGGTGGTCCGGTGGTTAAGACTCTGTGCTCCAATGCAGGGGATGCAATTTTGATCCCTGGTCAAGGAACTAACATCCCACCTGTTACTCAGCCAAAAAATTAAAATTAAAAAAAAAAACATTTTAGGTGGTATGTGATGTATTCACTCTTGAAATGACAGGAGGACAGCGGTGGACAACAGACCAGTGGTGGCTGGGTTAGGTTGGGGGAGGGGCTGGGAGGATGGAGAGGGTGTGGGGCCCTGGTGGAGGATGCTTTTGTCTGGACCACATAGGTGCGGGCACCCCGCTCGAGACGGACTGCAGTTCTGCGAGATGCATCCCCTGGGGAAGGTGGCCCCAAGGTCTGTGGGACCTCCCTGTGTTGTTTCTCACGACTGCAGTGACTCTACAATTATCTCAAAATAAAAAGTTTAATTTAAAAAACTTCTAGTAAAAGACTGAACTTTGAGTCAATTCATCAAAGATTAATGTGCCTTAAATCAATGTGGAGAATATCAACTCACTAGTAAACAAATTCGTAGAATGACCCATGTCTGCAAGCCAGCTGGCAGGGTAGATTTTGCTGGTGGACCAATTTGCCAAACGATCTCTTCACCAAAGCCCGTTACTATTAAAAACATACAAAATATATCGCATGGGCTTTGACTGAAATTGCAGAGTGATACCTTGCATTTTATGCAAAGTTATAAATTTCTAGCTTGAGTATTTCACAAACAGGAAGGATTTCATGTATTTTTTTAAGTGCAGGTTAGTTTCTTCTGGGCCATTTTAGATTCAGTCTGCTGCTTTTCCTATTATGGTTAACTCAGGGATTTATTTGGGGGCCAGGGAGAGAATTCTGCCTTGGGATGTCACCCTGAGATGCTGGGAGGGAGGGGGCAGTTCCCGTGTGTCTGCACACACCCATGCACACTTACCCATGCACACACTTCCCACCTTCCTTCCATCTGTCTGGAATGTGCACCGCCTCACGTGTTCAGGGTAGTCTCCACATCATCTTGCTCCCCCTACTTAACACGGGAAACTGAGGCAGGGAAAGCGCCCCCCCATCTACACACTGGTGCCCAGCAGGGGAGGACCGGCCTCCGTGAGGTGCTGGTCACCGAGCCAGGCGTCACGGGAGCCTGAGGGCTCTCCACAGTGACCTCTCGCCGGCACCATCGGTTTCTGCTCCCTCCGACGTTCTGTCCTGGGTTGTCGATTCCATTGATCACTTATAGAGCTAGAAATGCCGAATGAACGAACACTCATCTCGTGCTTTAAATATTGCGTCCTCAGCAGAACGCCTGTCCCCGCTGCCTCCCAAGGGGTCAGGGCAGCCGTTTGTGCCCAGGACCGCCTGGCAGGCTGGCCACCTCCATGTCCTGAGAGCAGGAGGGAGCCGCAGGGTCCTCTGTCTGGGGGCCCCGAGGCAGGGGACACAGGAAGACAGGTACATTCAAGGGGACCAGAAAGGGTGTGACTGTGAGGAAGACCAGAATAACGGCAATGACATTAGCAGGTGGCATGTTCAGGAGACAGGGAAAAGAAAAGGAGCGGGAAAGAGAGGGGCAAACTCCAAACCAGGACCATCAGCATCGGGGTGGGGGCACAGAAACCACGGGACCCTGGAGCTGAGCACACCCGGCCTATCCCCCAGGTCACGGGTTGGGGGAGGAGCTGGAGGTCCCGGCCGGAGGAGGTCGTGGGCCCGGGATGCCCCGATCTGCCAACGGGGGCTCAGATAACAGACACGCTTTCTGTCACTGCCTGGAGGCCAGGAGTCCCAGACCAGGGGCTGTGTTCCCTGCAGACGCTCTGGAGAGGGTCCTCCCAGCCCCCACCAGCCACTGGTCACCTGGTTCCCAGCTGTGGGTCCCCTGTCTCTGTCCCTGTGGTCACTCAACTCCATCCTGTGAGTCTGACTCCACGTGGACCCAGCTGTGGGCCTGGGGCACCCAAGCCAGTCTGCCTCCTCTGAACTGACCACATTGCAAATGTGGACCTGCTTCCGAATAAGGTCACAGGCTGAGGTTCTGGCGGACAGGATTTGGGGAGACACGATTCACCCCAGTGCCAAGGGCTGTGGGGGAGCAGCAGCCCAGGCCAGTAGGACCCGGGGGTCATCCCTGATGCCCCCAGCCTCCTATCCCGGGTCACTCTCCACTAGAAGACAAGCAGGACAGGAGCCAGGCTGTGGAGGAGACAATTGAGCGAGCAGCTGCTCTGGTCACTTGGAGGCACGTCTGGAACGTGAACTGGGGCTGGGTCTCACAGGGTGCTTGAGGGCACGGCCAGGAGAGTAGGGATGGGGCCCTCCTCCCAGAACTGACCACCTCTCATTTCTCCCTTTGACTTGCGCCCTCTCCCGTCTCTCCCAGCTGCTTCCTGGAGCTCGAAGGTGCCAAATGGCCCAGGGAGGGGCCCGAGAGAAGCCCCTGCTTCACCTCCTCCCCAAACGCCACCGCTCTTGTCACCCGGGGGTCATTTCCCGGCTCAAGCTGGCCACCCCGTGCAGGCCGGCCTGGGGCTCCGCGGCCAGGCTGCAGGTGCCCGGCAGCGGCCCCGTGCGGCCTGCGTCCAGATGCCTCTGTGGCCACGTGGACCCTGGGTCCCCGGCCAGCCCAGGCCACCAGCCACGGCGATGGGCCTCCCAGGCTTGATGCTCTCCTCTTGGCAAGAACGAACCTGGATTTGTGGTTTGAGTGGTTATGGCAGCGCATTAACAAAGAATGTCCTGTTGGAAGCATGAAGGAAGCATGCCGCTAACTAGCGACGGTTTCCAGGACCAGGCCCCAGAGTCAGGCGGCTCGCGGGAGACACGACGAGCTCCTCTGGGAGAACAAAGACGCCACGGAGAACGCCCCGTTCACATTCGGTGCCCCCTTGATGTGTGCCCAGCATATCTCTTTAATGTTTTTTATTGTCCTTCCTTCAAAGACAGCTCAGTTTAATAGAAATGTTTTACAATTGCTGAATGTATAATATTGTTTATAGGAGGGAGTTATAAAGAACTGATGTATACCAATAAAAATGGCATATTAGGGATTTTTTCTTAATTCTCAAAGAAGAAATAATAACAAAATAATGTCCTCATTATGAGAGTAGGTGGGAAAGAAGAGAGAGCAAAGTTAAAATAAAGAAAATAAAAATCCTATAATAACCAAATGCACTAAAATGTGTCTCTTCCCCTTTTAGAGAGGTGAGGTGATAGGGTTTCTGTCTATGAAACCAAATGTTTACAAATATTCAAGCCCATAAATTTGAAGGGAAACTGAATACAGAAAATTCTTGTTAATGCAGTACATTTTCTGGCAATTTTATAGTCCAATTTTCAGTGATTCCCCACAGAACGAATGCAGTTCAAAGGCAATTTTATAAAGTACTTTGCAGATAACTATTATCTGCTAATTATTAGAAATTGCATGTTGTTGTTAATTGCATAAATAAATTGTTTTATCTGAAAGCCATTAAAAAAAGGTTTGGTGTTTGAAGCATATATGGTTTTGATGTTCCTGTATAAAAACGTTAAACTGTTTAACTCTAAAATAATGACATGCTGCTTTTAAGACAATTTCTTAGACTAATGGATTATGGGGAGGGTGGGGGTAGGGATCCCTAAACATGTATTTTTACTTTATTTCTGTGAGATATTTCACCTGATTATAAATCTGCACGAGAAGCAAGATTGCAAATATTTACCAAATGTATTAGAATGACACCCATATGATGCTATAGTTTTTTTTTTAATCCTTAGAAAGAAGTTAATATAAACATTTCCTTTTTTTCCCAAAATAGTCTTATTTTTTTAATGCTCCTTTTTAAAAAAATATATTTCATTCATGATTGGCCATAAGAAGACTATATTTATATGAACAGTTTCCTTTGATTTCCTATGAAATAATTCAGAAGAGGAGTGTAATGGGTACTCTCACAGAATTTGAGGGCAGGACGCCTCTGGAATGAGTGGGTGCCTTGGGAGTCCACTCCCCGGGAGGTGCCAGGTGAGGCCCCAGGTGGCCCGGCCGTGGCCCTGACCCTGCCTGCCCAGTGCTGAGTGCCGGAGACCCAGGAGGCGAGGAGGAGCAGCCTCGGCGATGCCGACAGGACGAGGGGGAGACCCCACCCACATGGTGTGACAAGGTCCCTAGGCCCCGGGCACAGCTGTCCCAGCCCCACACCTGCTGAGCGCAGACCTCAGTGATGGCCAGAGAGTGCGAGATGGAGGGCGCTCTGAACCCGACCCTGGGCTGGGTGACGGCAAGTGGAGCAGGATGGGCGCCCAGAGGCGGCCTCGCCCCGTCTGCACAAACCCAGGTCCTCCGGGCTCCAGAAGCTGGGTCCTGAGCAGTAAGACAATGCAGCAGGGAGGCGCCGGGCAGACTGTCCCTGGTCACAAGCCTCCCTCTGTCCTCAGCCCAGAGCCGTTCCCGCGCAGCAGACTCCCAGCAGCACCTTGAACCCAGCGTCTGATTCATAAGCCTCCCAAACACTCAGCTCATCCAGAGGGCACCGTGGTTCCTCGGCGATGAGACAGCTCCAGAGTCAGGGATCTCTCCTCACCAGTTTATCCACTCAAGTCTTAACTAGTTTGCTGGGACTGCAGTAACCAAGCCCTGCCAATAGGGCAGCTTCAAAAGCAAGGCAGGTCTGTCTCCTCGCAGCTCCGGGTGGTTGGAAGCCTCAGGTGTCAGCCGGCTGGGTTCCCCAAGGCCCTGAGGGAAGCTTCCACCCACTCCCTGCCTGGGGGCAGCTGGCTATCTTTGGGGTCCCTCTGCTAGGGAACCGCCACCCCGACCCATGTTCTACTCTTCACAAGGTGTCTCTGTGCTCAGATTTCCTGCTTTATATAAACATGGTACAGATGAACTTATTTACAAAGCAGAAATAGAGTCACAGATGTAGAAACCACACTATGGTTCTACGGTTACTGGGTGGGGGGGTGGGGTGATGAGGGGATGGATAAATTGAAAGATTGGGACTGACAAATACACAGTACTATATATGAATAGATAACCAATAACCAATAAAGACCTACTGTATAGTGCAGGGAACACTTCAGAATACTTTGAAATAACCTATATGAGAAAAGAATCTAAAAAAGAGTGGATATACGTATAACTGATTCACTTGCTATATACCTGAAACTAACACAGTATTGTAAATCAGCTCGACTCCAATAAAAAAAAATTTTTTTTTTAAACCTGAATGTAGCAGTCACAGTGAATCCAGTCTGACCTCTTCTTAGCTACTTAAGTCTGCAATAATCCTATTCCCAAACAAAGTCCCGTCATAAGGTACTAGGTGCTGGAGCTTCAACAATGGAATTTGGGGAGGGTCACAAATCAGTCTTAAACACTGGGAAGGGAAGGTTGTTATACAGATGGAAACAAAGCAAGACACAACTCGGCATGCGTGAACACACCAGTGACCATCAAGGGCTTCTCTGGCCGACGCAGGACATGTGTGTATTTCCTTGTCAGCCCGTACCAGATGAACGGACCAGCTGACTTGAACTAATATGGAAATATCTGCCAACTTATTTCTGAAAACAGACCTATTGAGTTCTGCCTAAACCCATGTGACATGAACCAGCATGAACCGTCTAGGAAGTGCAGAGAGAAGGCCATCGCCCCACATCAGCCTGGGCAGGACCATCCACTGCCTGCCGGGCTCCCATCCTCACTCACGGCTCAAAACCTCCCCGGTCTCTGGACCACATGCCCTCCCTCAGCATCACACCCGGTCCCTGCCTGGCAGCCTCCTAGATGCCTGTGGCCACATCTGTGAGCCCCACCCCCTCATCAGAGGGCTCCCTTTCACACTGGCCACCCAGGTTGTGGAAAATGTTTCGAAGTAGAAAGAACAGACCTTCGGGGCCCCAGGCCCACAGTGACGCTATTGTTTGAGGGACATCAAACGTGGCCTCGGAGTGGTTTTCTCATTTGCTCTCTTCTCCTGAGTCTCTGGACTCTTCCAGGGTAAGTCTGTGACCAGGAAGTGAACTTCCTCTACTCAGAGTTGCCTCATTAGTCCTCAGTTACTTCCTGTCTAAGGAAAAAAAAAAAAAACCAACAACCCACACACCCAGGAGACAAATAAAGAAAAATAAAGGGTATTAGATCATAACTAACTACACAGAGAATGAACTTTGAGCTTTTTTTTTTAAAACTTGACTTCTTGGCTTCTTGATTTTTTTTTTTTTTTTAGTTTTGTTTGTTCCATTACTTGGTTGGTCTTCACTCTTGATTGCTTTGATTTAGTTTGTGTTTGATGATTTTTGGTTTTTTCTTTTTTAGTTACCCAAACATAAGATGCAAAAGCAGTCATCTCTTGCCAGGATGTGTCAGTGCTAAGTTGCTTCAGTCATGTCCGACTCTTTTGCGACCCAATGGACTGTTGTGCACCAGGTTCTTCTGCCCATGGGATTCTTCAGTCAAGAATAATGAAGTGGGTTGCCATTTCCTCCTCCAGGGGATCTTTCCAACCCAGAAATCGAACCCATGTCTCTTACGTCTCCTACATTGGCAGGCAGGTTCTTTACCACTAGCGCCACCTGGGAAGACCAGTCATCTCTTGGTGTGCCCTAATTGAAGGTAAATTTCATTCAGTTCAGTTCAGTCGCTCAGTCGTGTCCAACTCTTTGTGACCCCGTGAATCGCAGCACGCCAGGCCTCCCTGTCCATCACCAACTCCTGGAGTCTACCCAAACCCATGCCCATCAAGTCGGTGTTGCCATCGAGCTATCTTATCCTCTGTCATCCCTTTCTCCTCCTGACCCCAATCCCTCCCAGCATCACAGTCTTTTCCAATGAGTCAACTCTTCCCATGAGGTGGCCAAAGTTTTAGAGTTTCAACTTCAGCATCAGTCCTTCCAATGAACACCCAGGACTTATCTCCTTTAGGATGGACTGGTTGAATCTCCTTGTAGTCCAAGGGACTCTCAAGAGCCTTCTCCAATACCATAGTTCAAAAGCATCAATTTTTCGGTGCTCAGCTTTCTTCACAGTCCAACTCTCACATCCATACATGACCACTGGAAAAACCATAGCCTTGACTAGATGGACCTTTGTTGGCAAAGTAATGTCTCTGCTTTTTAATATGCTGTCTAGGTTGGTCATAACTTTCCTTCCAAGGAGTAAGCATCTTTTAATTTCATGGCTGCAATCACCATCTGCAGTCCTTTTGGAGCCCAAAAAAATAAAGTCTGACACTGTTTCCACTGTCTCCCATCTATTTCCCATGAGGTGATGGGACCAGATGCCATGATCTTAGTTTTCTGAATGTTGAGCTTTAAGCCAACTTTTTTACTCTCCTCTTTCACTTTCATCTAGAGGCTTTTTAGTTCCTCTTCACTCTCTGCCATAAGGGTGGTGTCATCTGCCTATCTGAGGTTATTGATATTTCTCCCAACAATCTTGATCCCAGCTTGTGCTTCTTCCAGCCCAGCGTTTCTCATGATGTACTCTGCATATAAGTTAAATAAGCAGGGTGACAATATACAGCTTTGACATACTCCTTTTCCTATTTGGAACCAGTCTGTTGTTCC